TTTCAATTTGTAAAAATTTCATTAATGGTCCTAAATTTATTTGCTAACTAGCAAGTCGATCCCAACCTATAACCTTTAAAAACAAAATAAAACTAGTTTTCAAAGATTACATTATAAATTTCACTGCTACTATCCAATGACATAGATTGTTCATATCTCCAACATTTCACTATAAATGATTCTCAAACCTTATTATTCGAGCAAACTCGAGAAAAGATTTTACCTTTTGATATAGTTAGTTTAGTACAAATAGACTTTCTAGGTAAAATGGCCAATGACATGACCTGTTTCAAATTGTATCAAGCAATCCAAATTGGGACAATTTAACTCTTTTTTTTTTTTGATGTCCAGGTGTCCCAGATTTATCAGACTAAATTTTGAACCTCCAAGACCTTTGCCCCTAGAACGTTGGAGGAAGTAAATCTCGGAATATGTCTCAACTGGTTCTCAGGTTCACTTCACCAATAGTGCAATTCTGCGCACAAGGGATCATCATCCAAAGTGATTGCTCTATGCCAAATAAATCTGACCGCAGGTTCCCACAGGATTTGAACCCCCACCACGTCGCTGGAAGCGAGTTATGTGCTGATTGTTCCACCAGTTGAGCTGTGCTCGGGGGACAATTTAACTCTTATTTACACTTCTAATGGATTTGGTATTAAATTTGGATTGGATCATACTGACCATAATATGGAACTCTAAGTCCAATAATAATCACGTCAATGATTGAGGTTATAAACTAACAAGTTGATTTGGGTAATTAGTAAAGTCATTTATTAGAGACCCTCGATTCTTAAATTTAGAATAATGTAAATGGGTGTTTGGTGGGAATTAAAATTAGATTTTTAGTAGATTGTGATAAAAGTTTTTAAAATGTGTGGTTGAAAAGTTGTGAGACTCATGAAAGATGTGGTTGATATTGATTGTTTGACTTTGTCTTTAATTAAAATTTGAGCTATAAAGTGTAATTCAGATTTTTTGGTCATTGAACTATAGAGACCTAATATTATATAAGTCATGGGTCAATTATAAATCTGTTCAACCTGATCCGTCTACTTTAATATTTGTGGACAAGTTGTTCCAAATCGACAAACTCAATCCAACCCGACCGATACTTGATGGGGTTGTGTTGGGTTTCAACTTTTACACACGTTGGATTAAATTATGATCAAATCAATCATGTTGAATTGAGTTTGAGTTAAGACAAAAATCGATCCAATCCAACTCATGTCAACTCCTTCTAACATGTAATGAATATTAATTTTTAATTTCTTTGGATGAGCATTTGGAGCCTCAAATAATTGTATCAAATGTCACTGCACCATTGACTTGTCATCGGTAGGGACACGATAATATGTCACTATTAGGTCCACTTGGTTGATATCTCTATCTTGATATATATATATATATATATTTTTTAAAAAAAATTGCGAGGCAAAAAGTATAGGATTTTTTGTCATTTTTCAAGGAAGGTCCAAATGAAAGTGACTTCTTACCTACTTGTGTCACCCAAATAAGGGAATAGTTTAGTGTATTTTCAAATAACAATATCATCTGCTTCATTTAAAAATTTAAGCTATTATCATATAAGATTCACGTGGGTTCATTTTTAGTTTTGTGTTCAACATGTCCTTCACGTATGACGCAAATTCATTTTTTTCAAAATCAAAGATATACGTACACAATTTTTATAAATGAACGATGATGAAACTTGAATCAATATATTTCATCTATCTCTAATACTACGTTTATATCTCATTTAAAAATTTAAAACAACTAGATATATTCTTTTAAGAATTAATCTATATGTACAGAGGGTCGGTTCACAGAAGGCTTACCGACCCTCACATGAGGTGGGTCCCGATGCGGGATCCGCTTGATTAAAAATTGGTTCAAATTTTTCCCGCCCAGAAGCCCCACTTCTGAAACCCGAGCAACACTTCTTTTAATTCTTATCTTCAACATATATCTATCTTCAAGTCAATTTAAATTTGTTTAATTCTTGTCTTTGACAAGTATCTTATCTTCAAATATTAGCTTGTGTATTATAATTAGCCCATTTTGATTTAGTTAAAGATTGATAAATTAACAATTAATTTTTAATCTCAAATCTCGAAGGATCCATAATTTTTAACAATTTTAATTACGCATTCATCAAATTTTATCAAAAAAAAAATTACTAAAAATAAAAACCAAACAGGGAGTAATGCTTTTATTGTATATGGTAGATCGAAAATGTTCTCCTGCCCGCGGCGGGCAAGCTTATCCTGCCCGCCTGCTGATGT